AAGAACTAGAACATTCGCCAAAGTACAGGATAATTCAAGAAAGGAGAGAGCGTGAGAATCACATGATCTCGATGACACAACAATAATAATATGAAATAATAATGACAGTATAATGACTACTTGGATAGTTGGAATAATCTGGAACACTAATCTTGATTTAGTGATTATTTCCTGACATTAATCAATTTCATAAATTTACTTAATTGATTATTTTACATGACACTAAACAATGTAAGTGATGCTCATATGTAACCCGATATTTGTATGAATTAAATTAATCACCCAGTTCTAATTAATAGTGGAAAGAAATTTAGTTTGAGTAAGAGGCTCAATAAAGTGATGCTAATTGATGATACCAATGCTAATAGGTATTCGATTATATCAATGAATCCAGTTAATAACCCTAATCTAACTGACAGTGGAAAAAAGTTAGTTTGATCAAAAAGTGAACTCAATAAAATAGTATGATAGGTTGATTACCAGTTAGTTTGTATCTAGTGGAAGGCCTAATAAAAGTATATATGGTATCATTTATTTCTTTGGATTTCTTTTGATCTAATAAGGGTCTTTTTACTTTGGATGGAATTAAATTCAAATTATGGAATTCCACTCTTCACAGAACAATTCACTATAGCACTTTGGTGCTATTGTTAAAAATTGTTGGTGCATATGCCAAGCTATAAAAACAACTCTCACTCTTGTACATAATAATGCATACAGCTGTAGTCTATGTTGCAAGCATATCAGACTGCATCCCTCCACTAGTAGGAAGCAATCAATCTCCTTGTAAATTACTCTCCTTGAGCACTTTGTGTAAACTAGTATGCTGGTCTGGGATGAATCATCCCTGAACACCCATATTATTGTAAATATTTCAGGTACGTATTTCTCACATACTGCACAGCTTGAAATATTGTTCTAACTACACTTGAGATATACATAAGGGGATTAAGCAGCCTTTACATTCCACCCACCTTTGCAACACTAGCAGCAAGAAGTACAGAAATGCCACTCACCTTTCCACAAACTAATAACCGTTAATTCACAGCAGAAAAGATTTTTGTCCATGAATCTACCACTCCTATGCACTAGTCTATGATGCAGCCAGCTTTACACTATAGCCCTCCACCAATAGGAGGGTGACACATTCTCCATTTGCAGTAGACACCATGAGTATGTCATGTTTTATCAAAGGCTCATTCTTCACAAGGGAAAAGAAGCACATCAGAAGTGGGGAGGTTTTGTGGAGAAATATATATCTGTCTGAAATTTATCTTCAGGTAAGGAAATGTTAACTTGATTTTTGCTACTTGCATCTCCACATAACTAATAACTAGAATCCTTTATTGATAAGATGTTAGAGGGACCAGTGTAGATAAAAAATATGACAATCGTCAATATGTCCTGATTGTAGCATGAAAGTGGTCAACTCCTGATGGACCAGAGCCATCACTTCATGGGCATTACTCCCCAAAATGGAAGACAAGAGAAGATAAAATAAGTCGTAACTTTCCAAGAAACAGAATAAAAATGTAAAATAAATTATCTGAAGGCGAAATTCAGGAAAGTAAAAATGTGTGGATAGGTTAATTGAACCGTGAGCAAAAAACATATCTAATAGTAGGATTGCCAACTGAAAAGTGATTAACACGTGTGTGTGTGTGTGTGTGTGATTAAAGAGGGTGCGAGTTATGATAGGGATAGTGTTGCACTCCTATTGGTGTAGGGTTGCTGCATGATCATTTGCATGTTAGTATGCAGTAATGAGTGGGAGTAATAAGGCTAGTGGCAAGCAAATATTTGCACCAATAGACAGCAGTACAAGTTGAGAAAGCTTTTTCTGAGAGAAGTATCTATTGCAAATACATTTTCATTTTAGAAAAATGATACCTTTTGATCTGAAATACATTTTCAGGTAGGGAAAATGTTAACATTCAAGAATTTAATACAATGAGAATTTTATTAATAACTGATAATACTGTTTTTGTTGTAATCTGAGCAGTCCATCATCAGTAGTATTATCTATATCTTTAAATGAGATTATGAAATTTGAATTTTGTACCAAATTCTTAATGGCTTATGTTTTGGTTTTGTTTATATTAAATGTAATTGATTGTTTTCAGAATGTCAGAAATTATTGTTCTTAATTTACACAATTAATTATCAAGCTTACTTTTTTTTTTTCTTTTGACAAGAAGTAAAGTTTAAATTTCTTAAATCCAAAAATTTATTGTTCTACTTTTAATAGTAGGAAAAATATTAGCACACCTCCAAATACATTATTAATGTGCATCATTGAGTTTGCTAGTTTCTATCATTACATACAATAAGCAAGCTATTGGTGGATTTATAGTTATATAAAATGAATGAGTGAAATATTGATTTATACAGTGCATTTTTAATTACATTCTATGCTAATGTTATTTTGGAAGTTTCTTCATGATGTAAGATTGTTAGAAAATTGATTTGATGTTCTTTTTCACATACTTTAGATACGTGATATTGTAAAGTCAAGGTGTGGGTGTTCCACAGAGTGTTTGGGCTATTTCTTCAGGAATTTGTTTGCTATTACAAAGTGGCTACCACATTACAGTATTCGAGAATGTCTGCTGGCAGATGTTGTCGCTGGTCTAACTATATCAATCATGCATGTTCCTCAGGGTAAGACAGCAACTGTCAATATCTGATGTTTAAAACAAAGAAAATGGAGAACTACACACATATATAACTAAGTAAATACCAGCAATCGGGACTGGACTTTATCTATAATGAAGAACAAATTTGTTTTACAGACTTAAGATGAAGGATAAAAGTTTAAAATAACAGGTACATTACATTAGTTTATTATAAATGGATATAATAATATACAAATACTAAACACCAATGATATAAATAAAGTTATTGATGGATATTAATTAACAAGAATATAAATGCAAACACTCGGTTTAATATTGAAATATTGGCTTTGAAAAAATTTGTGTCAGGTCTATTAGGTCTGTAACACATTAGATTGGAGAAGGGTGAATTACTACTCATTAAATGTTTTAGTTTCAAGTGGAAGTTTGAGTGTTTTTAAGATACATGTTTTACATAGTACACCAGTAGAACATCAAACTGAGGAAGATAAGAAATGTTTCTGATTTATGAAAGTGTGAATGATTATAGGTATGTATTTTACATAAAGTAAAGAAAATCAGTAAAAAATCAAACTGAGGAAGATTAGAAATCAGTGAATGTTACATGATGTTACACACATATAGGAATAGATTTTATGTAAACTTTAATACAACATCAAACTGAGGAAGATTAGAAATCAGTGAATGTTACATGATGTTACACACATATAGGAATAGATTTTATGTAAACTTTAATACAACATCAACTCACAAAGATTGTTTGTCTATGAATATGTTAGAATAAGATGAATATGTTTTACAGGTATGGCTTATGCTCTGTTAGCATCTGTACCACCCATTTATGGACTTTATACATCTTTTTATCCTTCTCTTATCTATTTTCTTATGGGCACATCTCATCATGTTTCTGTTGGTAAGTAGTTAGAAGATTTGTGTTACTTAGGTACTTTAATCATTTGGTTAAAAGGAAGTGATAAGTGAACTGTCAACATAAATTATAAACATCATAAAGATCCCTAGTTTTACTCAAAACCTTTAAAATGTTCAAAAGATTTTAAAATAATCAACATTTATATTTACGGTATCTAAATTGGTTTTAGAATTGTAATGAAATTATAATTTTAAAGATTTCGAATTTCTTAAGTGAACATTCCCCCAAATTTTTAGCATGTTTTAAGTAAATATTTGATACAAAATTAATATTTGGGAAACTTTTATGGCTGAGAGAATTTTAGGTGATTTCAAGTAAACCTCTAGTTCATGTTGTTATACCTTTGTTACATTTAGAGTTGATTTTTAATTCTTAAATATTCTTGTGTTGGATCTACAGTAGATTTGGATTATAATAATGCTATCTTTATACATCTGTTAGATAAAGAGGATTTCTGAGAAGCCAACAATCTTCTTTTGGGTGTACAGTAATAGTGGTAATGCTATGTTAATACCATTGTCATATACAGATATTTCTGATATGCTAACACTCCTAAGTTGCATCTTCAATAGTCAGTAATAGTGCAGTCTTTATACCAATGTCAGATATAAAGAGATGTTTGAGATGCCAATGCTCCTATATTGAAATCTACAACAGATGACAATAATGGTTTCTTTGTCATTTTTCAGAGAAAAAGATGTTTTTGAGATTGTAGCATTCCCATGTTAGATTTATAGTTATGTTGTTTTTAATCAGTTTTCTTATAAGATGTTTTTGATATGTTAATGCTCCTGTATTTGATCTGCAGAAGTTAGTAATAATGCTAATAATGGCTGGAGACGGCTTGAGTGGGTAATGAAGAAAAACTTTAATATAAGTTAAACATAACAGCAAATGTACAACATTTCGACAAGGTTTTGTCATCATCAGGTACAAAACCTTGTCGAAAT